TTTCTCCTCCTTAAGCATTTTGCACTAAATCATGTGGGTCAAAATTCAAGATTCATTTCAGTGAAGCAGTCAACTCAGTATAAATTAGCTCTTTGCTGATCAACCACTGATGGCGCTTTCCATTCAGACCTGCTCTTAGATACTCCATCTCATCTGGAGCTTGTTTTGGTTAGTCCTGGAGTCCTTTACGTACATTTTTGCCAATTGCAGCTGGAATTGTCACTTACTTTTGGAGGGGAAAAGGGGGGAGCAAGTACAATTTCTAGATTATTGTGGGTTTTGGCATCTTCTTGACAGCTTTACTGAGCTTGCACATATTATGCTCTTCCTGGCATTTCCTTCTTTTGAAGTCATTAAAACCAATTTCATATTTATAAATAAGATGTCCTAATGCATCTAATATTTGATGAGGTCTGGCTGCTGCCTGCTTTTCTTTTTAATGTTTACACCAGGTGCCTCTTGCTATCAAGGAACCAAACACTGAATAAATTTAACAGATATTTCTTTTAATTAGCCCCCAAAGAGCTTGCAATGAAAAACACTATCAGAAGCATTTTACTGCTTTAGAGAATATAAGATTTCTTCACAAAACCGCTCCACAGAATTACAGAACAGCAATAAAATCATCACTTGGATGCAGAAATAGATTGTTTACATAGGGATCTTGTATGAACTGTGCATTTATTAGTATTAACTTCTAATCATGCAAACATTTCCACACATGCATCTGAGGCATGCTGTTGAAATCAGTGGGTCAGCTATGCTGCCTAACATTAGGTACGTGCATTAAAGTTTGTAGGATTAGGGCTCCATTTGTGTATATTCCCAAGAGCTTTGCCTTCTCTGAGGAGAAGGGAGGAAAACTTATATTCCAGATTGGTGTAATTACTGTAGCACATACGATATTGGCAAACCAGACTCTCTGAATGTCTGCAACATTTCAAAGTACTTTAAGATACAGGCTAAAGGCTGACAGTTTCTTTTTCTGACTTATATGCTGCCCCCTCTGCTTTTGATTCTGCATTCAGAGCTGCCACATGAGTGTGAGAGCTGCAGTAAATATGCATTTATGTAGCACCTTTTTTGAAGTTTTCTAAACACTTTACAGACAGCTCTTTATATTCACAGATCTCAAAGTATTTTAAAAATCTCTGTAAGTATTGTTATCCCTCCTTTACTGAGGGAGAAATGGGTGTGTTTCAAGGGAAGTGACTGAGCCAGGAATCATCGCTTTCAAGTGAGATAAATCAGAATTTTCTTGTGAAAGTTTTCTCAAAAAGATCTCAAGTGCGGGAAAACACAGCTTTTATTTCCACGTTGCAGTTAGTCTCGTGCAATCCTGCCTATACCAGCTAATAACCCTCATGTGTGACAATAGCCAGCCTATGAAACTCCTATGGACCAGGTACACAGTAATGATCTCTACTTTATGGCTAGGATATTATGAAGAAAATCTAAGAATCCTGACTCCAGAGTTGCTTGTTGTAGTCGGTAGATCATGGGGGGTTAAATTAAGCACTGAATCCATCCCACAGGTCCGTTTTACATAGGGCCCTAAGGGAGACTGAAATTACACCCAGGACTCTATTATTTGTGTGTAGTTTATCTGTCTTGCAGTTAAATTGTCCCCAAGATGTACAGATAATGCAGCTGACTACGTGTCCATGCAGCACTGCACTTGAAATAAGCCCCAAACCCAGAGCAATGGGCAATGGAGAGCAAACGCATCCATGTACGTCTGCAGAAACTGCCCTGCTCTGATGCATCCAGAGTTACCGTGCCCTTTTGAATGGTAGCTGATGCACTACACTGCATCAGGCCTGTCTGTGCCACAGTCTCTGGCATGTCCAGTAGGATCCATAACGTCTCACCAAGGAGTCACGATCCCCAGGTAATGGAGAGTTCTGTGTGCAGGGTCATCCCATTGTATTGATCCAATCCCTGAAATGGCTAGATGAGGGAAAAAGTACTCTCTTCTCTCCCCCAGCTGTATAAAAGTTCCTTAATTAGAGAGCACTAGAGAGCTACAGAAACATTCTCTGCCAGCAAAATATTTCCCATAATGTTGTTATGGGAAATGTCTTAAAAGTGGCAGTCAATTCTTCTTTGAAGTCATTAACAACCAAAAATGAATGCAGGAACTGGTGTGAGAGGGCTGGAAATACGAGAAGATTTAAAGTGTATCTCTTACATGTGCTCCAGCAGAGAGAAGGGAAGAGATCCAATTGCTTTTTTACCCTTGGAATTTCTCTGTTGGTTTTAATCGTGTGATGCCCTAATGACAAACTCCACGCACACTCTGGGGTATGTTCTCAACTTAATCCATGGGGATACATGTCTGTAATACTCATTAATGTCAAGAAGCGTTAGGAGGAACATAAATCTTTGCTCACTAAGATGTGAATCTAGACTCTGATGTACACCATACTACATCAGCTGCTGACTGAAGAAAAAGAGGAATTCCAGCACCTAGAAAGTCTACTTTAGAGTTCCTAGACTAAACAATCGATCCAGCCAAAAAAAATCAGGGATGAAATTTCTACTCCACACTTTGGTTCAAAAACACCAGCTGTGATATAGAAAGATGCATACCCAATGGGCAGTCTCTGGCTCACACAGGAAGTCCATAAAATCCCAATGAATCCCCAGTCAGCTAGACAAACTCTCCAGTTCCACCAGAAACCTTAAAAAGCAGATAAACAATGTGTATCCGAGTAAATCTTCAGTGCCGTATGGCTAGGGAAAATATCTCACTATGCATATACATAAAGAGAAATTCTGATGCCAAGAAATTGGAACTACTCTATAACAGACTTCTGATTTGTGATTTCTTTGGCACTGAGCCTAACAAAAAATCACTGTGATTTCCAACTACAAATATTTTTGGAACCACCAGACTTGCTCCCATGTGTACGTTAAATGAAATGAATGTTCAAAACCCATAATAAAACCCCAGAGGGAAGACTCTGATCAGAATATTAACATTAATCTTAGGAAGTCAGTAGGAACCATTCAAGCTATAATAATAAATTGCAATTCAGAAGGAATAGAAGGGCTTTTTCCTATCTGTCCGGTAAGCAGGTGTTACTGTGAACGCTCTAATCTGTACAGCACAGAAGTGAAGTGGTTGCCCTTAAATTTTCCAGTTGTGTAAAATAAATAAATGACATTACCATAATATGAGCAACAATCCCTCTTATACTAACTTAAGTGTAGTTTGGGGAATACTGCAGATCCTGAGATAACGTAATGCAGCTATCCAAGACAAGGCTGGAAAGTTTTCAAAAGCAATCCTTCTATCAGCAGCTTCAGAGTCAAAAGCAGGACTCCGAGCTCACTCCAGATTTATGGTAAGAGCCATTGCCAGTCCATGTTCGTGTGGTTGGCTCCCTGGGCATCCAGCCTGGGTAGCCAGGATGTCAGGACACGACACAATCGCGTTGCTCTTGTACTGGAGCAAGTGGCTGAACCGCGCTGTTCTGACTTGCCACCTACACTGAACTTCCCCTTTGACTGTATTTGGATCCAGACTGCGGTGCCTACATTTAGGTATCTAAAATGATAGCAAAGCAGCTTATTAACAGTGACTCGATTTTCAAAACTATTGATCATTTTCAAAAGCAACTTCCTTTGACTAGCAGAAGTCAGTCAGGATGGTTCAGCATTGCTGTCCAGATGATAGATGTGCTCAGATATGTGCTCAGTCTTTCTGGCACTTAAATAAAACTGTGTTTCTCTGTGTACAATATTTGTTTGTAAAGTTTAGTAAGAAGAATGATCAGGAAATGAATCAAATCACACCAAACCTGCCCTTTTACTGTGACTGGATTTTTTGAAGTTTGGAGTTTTGAAATTTAAGTGTTCACATGAAAAGTTTCTCATTTACCCGATAGACTCTACCAGGACCAGCACACCATTTTACTGGAAATGTCCCAGTATTTTCCCAGATAGGTGGGAATCAAGGTGTAGGGGGACTCTTAATTCGATAAAAGGCTTGCTTTCTGGTTGAGACAACTGACTCCTAATGGTGGACACGCTTCTCTTGTCCTGGAGAGGTCATTTTTCACACCTGCCTATTCTGTAGTGCTCACTGTATTTCTGACGCAGCTCAGATTCCAGGAAGTGTGGGAACTCCCACAGCACAGCCTCCTCTGCAAATAGCTCTCGCTCAGCAGCTACAGTAAGCTGTTGGTGCCTAATCCACTGTTGAACTGTACCACTGAATCCTTTGGGATTCATCCCAGCCTTCACGAGGAAATAGGCATGTCTCAAATCCTGAAATCCAAAGCACCAAGACACCTCAACTAAGATTTTGGATGACTCGTACAATGCAATTTACAAAGAATTGTCTGAACATGTAGAGGTTTTATTGTGTTTAATATGTTCCTATGATGACTTTCCTGCATGCAGCCTCACAGAATAACAGAATTGTCCTCCCAGGTATGAGCAGGACTCTATTAATACTCTACCAGTTGCCTGTAAAAGCAGTGAACGACAGACACTTCAGATGACTCTTGAAAAACGAATCCATATCTATAATGAAATTGGACCCCAAGGATGGAAACATAAAATATGATGTGGCTGTGTGAGATTATTCTGGGGCCATGTGGTTTCTTACTCTGCTCCTCACCCCTTTTTGCGAGGCAAACACATCCCAGTACCCTGCATTTGTTAGAGATTAATACGGGCGTGCTTTGTGAGAACACTTTGTTGGGCTGTTAGGAATTCTGTTCTCTCACAACAGACAACTGCTCTGGTAATGTTTCCTGACCTGCCTTTGTGGAAAACACTTATGCAGGGAGAAGCTCTTGTGCACCGATTCTTGTCTACATCCTACAAATAAGTTGCTGTCTTTTCTCTTCACCGCCCTGCTTTTATCTCTCGTCTATCCCATTTGACACATCTCTCCTGCTGGCTGCTGGTGGGGCCAGCCCGTGACTTGTTCCAAGCAAACACATGTGCAGTTTCCACCATTGTGTGGTCTGATGGTATGAACTTACCTGTGGGTGTTTACTTTGGTGGCACGACCTGGTATTTTGTAGCGCTGTATCTTTTTTCTCCTTCCTTGATATTTTTTCCCCTCAGCCACGATAACTCTTCGTCAGAAGCTGCTGCATTTCTGCTTTGATCATATAGAACGTACCATATAGCCTCAGGTAACACAGTGCTGCTTAACACAGATGAAATAGCTACAAACCCTCTTAGAAGTAGGGTTTAAAAAGGGATACCAGTGAAATCAGATCCCTCTAGCTGGACAGCAGTCTGATAGGAGAACAAGGGCTGTTGTGGTATTTGGCAGCCAGACAGTCTTTATTGTTATTAGATGAAACAAAGCTTGTGATCTTTAGTCCTTGACCTTAACTGCAGCAGCACACTCTTAATCAGACCTTAATTTAACACCTAACATGGTCACAGAAAGGATCAGACATGGGCTGCTGGTTTAATTACATGTAGCTGATATCATCCAAACCAATTTAACCTCATTGCTGTGTGTTGGGCACTGGATGGGAATTGCCCTTTAGATATAGAACAGAACACTTTCCAACACACACACACACAAAAGAGCAATGTACAGTTCAAGGTTTGTGCATTCACTTTAGAAAAAAATAAAAAAGATCTACTTTTGGATACTTTGCAGGTGATGTTACAACCTTTTCAAGAGAAAGAGGAATCAGCACGATTCGCTAAATCTCTTTGCCCTTTATGCTTTCACTCTGGCATTTTAAGTATTTCTAATCATAGAATCATAGAATGGTTTGAGTTGATCACCCAGCTCCAGCCCCTGCCTATGAGCAGGACACCTCCCACCAGCCCAGGCTGCCTCCAGCCCCATCCAGCCTGGCCTTGGGCACTGCCAGGGCTGGGGCAGCCACAGCTCCTCTGGGCAGCCTGGGCCAGTGCCTCACCACCCTCTGAGTGAAGATTTTATTCCTAATATCTAATCTAAATCTACCATCTTTTAGTTTAAAGTCATTTCCCCCTTGCCCTATCGCTGCACTCCCTGACAAAGAGCCCCTCTCCTGCTTTCTTGTAGGCCCCCTTTAGGCACTGTTGGGCTGCTGTGAGGTCTCCCTGGAGCCTTCTCTTCTCCAGGCTGAACACCCCCAACTCCCCCAGCCTGTCCCCATAGGATAGGTGCTCCAGCCTCTGAGCATCCTCGTGGCCTCCTCTGGACTGGTTCTAACAGCTCCCTGTCCTTGTGCTGGGGGCCCAGAGCTGAACACAGGGCTCCAGGTGGGGTCTCACGAGAGCAGAGGGGAACAATCCCCTCCCTTGCCCTGCTGGCCACCTCTCTGTTGATGCAGCCCAGGGTACAGTTGGTCTTCTGGGCTGAGGGCGCACATTGCCAGCTCATGTTCTCATCAACCAACACCCCCAGGTCCTTCTCCTCAAAGCTTCTCTCAATCCATTCTCCTCCCAGCCTCTATTTGTGCTTGGCATTGCCCCAGTCCAGGTGCAGGACCTTGCACTTGGCCTTGTTGAACCTCATGAGGGCCCACCTCTCAGGCCTGCCCAGGTCCCTCTGGATGGCATCCCTTCCCTCCAGAGTGTTTACCACACCACGCAGCTTGGTGTCATCCCCAAACTTGCTGAGGGTGCACTCAATCCCACAGCCCATGCCAGCAGTAAAGATGTTAAACAGCACACTACTGACCCCTGAGGAGCACAATTCATCACTGGGCTCCACCTGGACATTGAGCTGCTGACCAGAGCTCTTTGAGAGCAACCATCCAGCCAAATCCTTACCCACCGAGGGGTCCACCCATCAAGTCCGTGTGTCTCCAATTTAGAGACAAGGATGCTGTGTGGAACAGTGTCAAATGCTTTGCACAAGTCCAGGTAGGCTATTTAAATTAAATTAATATTAATTTAAAGATTAAACATCTTGCTAATTGGATTCTCCCACATTTCTTGAACAGTTGTTGTGTTACAGCAACTACTGACTGCTGTGTAACTCTTCCCTGATTTCTTATCAGAGATCAAGTTGAGTAAAAAGTAATATTTATGTGTTTCATGATAAGATTTTCACATTTTGCTGCTTGCCTTGTGTTTTGCTCTTCACAATCTGACACAATATTTATTTTTGACATTGAAATATGAACAGTCATATTTTTACATGCTTTGACACAAAATTCAATCTCTTTCTGAATTAGCATGGAAATCTGAAAACATTCAAAATCTTCCTTCAGAAACAGAAACGCTCTGATTAATCAGATTTTACTTGAAAACAGTCTTACTTTTCCAGCAAAATGCCATCAGCAAACCAAATGTGCAACAAACATTGCGAATACAATATTTTGCGATTTATTACTCAAATCACAACTTTTCCTTGAAATCACAGTTAAATGCAACAAGATTGTTGTGCATGTCATGGGTTTGCTTGGGTGAGACCGCCTGAAGTTTGCTAGAGGTAGGCGTCTACTCGCAGATGCTCACCTGGTGATCAATAATGAAGGTCAAATTGTGACTGAGTGCTGGGCAGAGCACTTAAAAATACTAATGAAAAGAAGTAAAAATAAAATGTTAGCAAGCAGCTAGAGCATGGTCTCTGGGACTTAGAAGACTGTTACTGTCACTGTCACTGGCTTACTGAGACCTTGGGCAGGTCACGTTCATTCACCAAATGAACTTTGATTGCTCCAGCTGAAGCGGTTTGAGACGTTACCATTCTGCATCATCTGTCCCAGTTGTCTGCAAGAAGTTTCATGCCTTGCAGCAGGGATGGCAGCACAGGAGCCGTGCCAGCACATTAGCCATACAAGTTTACAGTGCGGCATTTTAGCCCCCGTTACCGATGAAGGTGGGTTTGTGTTCAGGCGTTGGTCAGTAACCTGCAGGCACTGGGATGTACACCTTGTGTAATCATCGTGCACATGCAAAGGTGAGTGTGGATTGCAACGCACTCAGTAGAAAGCTTTTTACTCCTGCTCTGCCCAGGTGTAAATGACTTCACAAGCTGCTAGAATCAAGCCCTAAAACTGTAGGTTGGAATGAATGTAAAACCAAAATGAATCCAAATCCTCCATGTAAAGTTCTGAATGAAATCTGTGTTTTCTTTTGTTGCAGATGAGAGGTGGACCTTGTCCATATAAAGGGTTTTGCAGCTTATCTAAATGCCAGGTCACTGGAAATCTTCTCTAGTGAAGATTCCAGTTTGAATGTGAATTGCAGCTGGACTGACTAGCACACGTTGTTTCCCAAAATGTAAGCTTTGAAAGTGGAACAGGCTATCATAGGTTGCGTTTTTGTTTTGAGTTTCTATGTGATGACCACTGTGTATTTATGTTCTAGTTTACTTTGCTCAAACTTTCCATTGTGGACTTCTTACACCAATTGAGCTTTAACTGCGACAAAAGAAAGAGTTGTAGTGTTATAACCGTGAGGGTGCCAGGTGAAATCTCTCTGACCCATACTTATACGAAATTGGTAGGAACAGCAGGTTGTCACTGGAACTGGAAAGAAAATCTCCATGACAGACGTGCCTTTTTAAAAATACTTTGGTTTAATGCTTGCAGTTCTCCTGTATAGGAGTCCTCCTATATAAGAGGAACAACTCTTTCTGTTGGAGGGTCTGCTGAAATTTTCCCAGGGCTGGTTAGAGGATCACTGTCGCTTTAAAAACTGAATAAACAGTGAGGCACGTCCATAGCTTCAGGTCCAGGAGCCAGAAAAATGACATTTTTCATGAATTCTTCCAAATGAATTGCCCTGTGACCACTATAGACTTCTGAGTGTTTAAATCATGAGAATAGAATATTGTTAAGGCTTTTCTTGAAGTGCTCTGAAATTCCCTTCTTTCACTACCCATGATTGTTTCCACAGCTCGCGCAGTGAGCTCAAAGCCCAGTATGATTTCACATACTCCTGTGAGTTATGTTTTGACTTGGGGTTTGGACTTTTTTGTGATTGAAAGTTTTTACGCGGCTCTTTGTGACCTCATGCGAGGGCAAACACTGTGTTGATTTGAAGGAATGTAGATGGGTCTGCAGAAATGTCAGGGTCTCCCATTAAGATGTTTCTTTCACCTCAGCAGGAGTACTCAGCGTTTCAGTGAGTGTTGTTACTGAGATGCCCTGTAGTAAGTAACACAGCACTAAGCACAATTGCTCCTGATTCCAGTAACACGGTGTTAATGTGCCATTGCTGCTCTGTATTTCAGCGCCAAGGCATCACTTCTTTGGGTTACAATAACACAGGCAAGTGGACTTCTGCTTTAAGAAAGCAAAGCAGATCAATCCGTGCAGTAGTGTTATGCACTGGGACAGTGGGATACAATCAGCACTTCTCACACCATGCCTGAATGCAAGACATGAGCTCAGAAGGCTTCTGAGTCCTGCAAAGCCTTCTTCATGTGCTTGCCTTTGCACTCTGTGGACTCGATCCAAGGTTCAGTGGCACATTGTTTTGCTGCTTCTGGATGGCTTTGGATCACGCTGGGTCAATACTTACATTTGAAAGGGGCCCCTCTTTCTTACATTTGAAAGGGGCCCCTCTTCCTAAGCATTTACAGCAGCAGAGCACAGTGTACACGGTAACTCAGGTAATATGTTTTGACTAAATATTTCCATTTGTTATGCTGCCGTTTGTACCATCTAATGCATATTTGCTCTACCGAGGCACTCAGCACCTAAAAGTGCAATTATATTTTTCAGAAAGCTCTTGTCTTAGAAGTTCTCTTTATGAGTAGGTATTCATTATGCTGAGGATTGAAGTCTTGCAAAGAAAGCAAAGTCTGAGCCTTCTTGATAAAGAAAAGCAACACACCTTATTCACATTTCTGATTTTTTTTGTGATTCTTATCATGTTTAGTGTTCTTAAGTCTAGAGTCCCCGGAGCTAGATGATGCCTAGAGAATCTCAGTTTGTGTGATACTCAAAATAGGAAATTTGGAGCTGTTGTTATTGCAGAGAACTGCTTGGAAATAACTGCACACAGAAAGCAAATCTCAGAGAGCTAAAAAAGGAACGCAAATTCATAAGCTAAATTAGAGCAATAGTGTGGCATACAGAATAATTTAGTTCCAGGTTCTCACTGAGAATTGCTGCTTATTAAGCTAAATAAAATATTTTTAATTTTATTGCCTTAAGGATATTTAATCTAACTTCAAGATGTTTTTGTTTATAAGATTCATTTTCAGTGTCACAAATGGTACATTCTGTATGAAAAACATAATAGACTAAATT